GGCGGCGGGGTGCGGAGCGGCGAGCGGCAGCACATGCGCTCGTCCTGCCTCCGCGGTGGAGAGAGAAAGTTGTGGGCGAAGACCTGAGCCCGGCGGGCTGGGTTTCCCCGCGAAGGGCGAGGGCGAGCTGGGGCAGAAGCTGGCTGTGCAATGAGGAGGACGGGCGACTTTGCACGCTTCCTTGGTTAGCCGAGGGTGTTGCTGGGCTCTAATCTTCCTCACGAGAAGTGGAGTTTTTACTGCAACTTTTATTTGTCTGCCTGCCTGTAACGCTTCTCGAACTGATGTGTGGCTCTGTGTCCGCCGAAATTGCGCGGGATCCGTCTAGGTGACTAACCGCCTAGGTTTTTTGTTTCCTCTCCCCTTCTGCTGAAAACTCGACAGGAGGGACTGACAGTCTCTCTCTCTTCTGAGTGTTGCTAATGTGCCCTGATACAACTACGCTCTGTGTGTGTAACTGCTTTTCAGGCTGATGTCACAACCAACTTTAAAATACTTCCAGTTTACAGTCTCCTCAATCACCGTTATTAATAACAGCGGTTGACATAAGCTGTTTTTTTCTTAAGTTATTCTTCAACTTGCTGGGTTTATTACGTATGGCTCGTAAATCACAGCATGACCTGCATTGAGTGAAGTTTAGTTTTAGGGAGTTGTTGTAATGCAGTGCTTTAAAACCCTGCCTGTAATTTACCAAAGCTTGTATTTGTTCTGTTCAGCAGTGCTATGCTCCTACACTGTAATTGTCAGTGTAATTTAAATATGACACAAATATTTCATAGATCATTAGTAAGAAATGATGGGATTGTTTGATCTTTTAGCTTGTTTACCACTTGCATAGCCTTTATGTTAGAGCATATTAAACAGCATCATGTATCATTTTAGTGTATTAGTAGTCTTAAATTCAGAGGTCATCACCCATGTATATAATGCACTTTCCACGTACTAAATGTATTTAAGTCACCGGCTTCAACTGAACGATAACATACTTGATTCTTTGTTAATATAGCTATCCGTTACAGAAGTTAGTCCTCCAGAGTATCATAACTGGTTAATGAAATACGCTGAATGGAAGATACTTTATTACTACAGGAGGAAGTTAGGGATAGCTTCTTAATTTGAAGCTTTGTCTTTCCAGTTGTTTTAAAATGCAGTAGGTGTCAGGTGCTAGATTTTAGTAGGAAGTAATTTCTGCTGAAAGAAAATTATACACGATCATAAGTGTCTGTCATTAGGTTTACAGGGTGCATACTGTAGTCTTTGCAGTTTCTAATTTACTTTGTGATTTAGGAAAGCTAAGGTATTCAATGCAAATAATTTCCATGTTTGTTGCACGGCTCTTTGAAAGACACATGCCTTGACATAAGATGAAATTTCTAATGTTCAAGACTGCACTCTAAGTAGAGCATGACTGGATAGCACTCAGAGGGAAATAACTTTTTTTTTTTTTTTAATAAAAAGTTCTGGGTAAAATGGTGGAATAAAACCTTGGAGATCAGCAGCTGAGCATACATGAAAGGCTAGTGAGACTTGCTAATGAGACCCCAGCAAATTTTAGATCCTAAGTTTTCTGAAAGGGGCTTTTTACTAGCTTCCCTTTCTCTCTTTTTGTCCTTTTCTCCCCACCTGAATACTAAATAAGCAGTAATGGGACTGTTTAATGGGAAAACAATAAAAATGAGCAATGAAACTTTGAACCTTACAGCTGACTTTAATGTAATTCCGTTATCACTGTCAGAATTGAAGTTGTGTTGGCAATGTCATTACCCAATGAGGATAGCAGGTTGAAGTAGAGGTGAGTAATGCGATTACAGTACTTGTGTCTTTTGATGTGCATGTTATAACCCAAAATGCATACAAGGAGCAAGGGTTGAAGTACGAGTTTTGAGTTCAACTCCTTTAAATATAAAGGAAATTGCAAGAAGATGGTCAGTGTATTTCTTTGAGACTATGCTAGACATGAGGTCATACTAGAAAAGACTGCATTAGAAATAGTGAAATAGTGTTGTAGTAGAAATAGAACTCTTTTTTTTTTCCCACTAAGTTAGTAGGAGATGCAAGAATTTGAACACTCAACGCACTCATTCTTTGCCCTTGAGGTGTTCAGTTACTCGATACTTAGTATGACTTAACCCAAGTTTAAAGGTCAGTCCTACTGAAACTGCAGCAGACTTTCCTTATATATTCTAAAGCTGTGTTAGGTTACATAGGTAGGTAGGTATGTATGGTCAGCACATGACAGTGATGTGCAGTCAGACTGCTGTGGTATGTCCTGACCATGGAAGAGGGGCAGAGCTGTCAGTGACTTTAATTAAAGTTAGCCATAGGCTGAACTGGTTTTGCCCTCATGGGTAAAATGTGTGTCTGGCGGTATTCTGACATTGGCAGTAATGTTTATAAATATGCCATCTTGTTTTAAGATCAATTAAATTAATGTTCTTGATCGTCAGGTGTTTTTGAGGAGATGGCATGGTGAAATTCTGATTTTCTGACTAGTTATAAACTAAACTTTGCAATTCATTGCTAAAGTAGACATCCCCAAACTTCCCTGTGAATGAGGGCTCTGTCAGCCTCTCCCACCACCTCAGCTGCTTGCCATAGCACTGGAGCGAAGGAGGAATAGCAGGCTGATGGAGGAGGCATTGATATCCTGACAGCAGTAAGCAGAGAAGCTGTTCAAAAGCAATCCACAATGCAAAAATAATCTGTTTCTATCAATGGCAGAACAGTGTCCCCTGGGGACTGGGCCATTGCCAGTGCCTAGAAGAGGGCACTTGTGCTCTTTAGTGCTATCTAGAAATTCTAATATGACAAAATAAGTTGACTTTTTATTCTGTAAAATAGTGCTGCAATAAGTTACATAAGAGTATTTTTTTGTCTTCGTGCAAATTCTGTTTTTGAGCAGAGAAGCTCTTCTTTAGGAAAGATTAAAAGATGAGAAAATGGTATTGACAACCCTGATTTCAGACAGCATCAATGATTTTGATCACTGTACATTAATTCTATAAGCATTATTAACCTCTAAGTGTTTCATACAAGCTTCCTTTTTTTTAACCCATCATGTTTTCTTAAGGTTTTCACTTGTGAACTTGATAGGCTTGATCTTTATATTTTGATAATTGTTGATTACTTTTGGTTTATCACAGTATTTAAATTGGAGCTTCAAGAGTAAAGGTACTGGGAAACAGGGAGATGACAACTGAATGAAGAAAATACCAAATGAAGTTGAAATGCATTAGGGGTTACTTCACTAGACTGCAATAGTCAACCACACTGGCACCCCATAAAAACAGAAAGAAACATATCTCACAACACTTACCACCCCATACCTGTATTATGGACACTGGAAAGCTGCTGCAAGAAATTTGGTTCTTTTACGTGAAGTTATTTTTCATATATTGAAAGTATATAAACAGACAAGGATAAAGCCTTACTGTAGCCAAATAAAGTAGCACTAACTTAAAATTGGATTGAACAGCAGCATCTCTTAGTCAGAGATGCTCTGTAATACTTTTTCACGGGTGTATTACTGAAATGCTTTATGATGTGTAAAGTAAGGAAAGAAGGTAGACTTCTGGCTTTGTTTCACTTATGCTTTGGCGCAGTGGGGCATGCTACTTTAACCTCCTGATTTAGGCACTTCTGCAGGAGGAGCCCTCAATGGTGATGGGCCTTTTTATTTTGGTGCATGCACAGTGCCCAGAGCAAAGACCAAAACACACCCATGCTGTAAGGGGAAGGTGTTGCTCCATGGGATGGAGTCATACTCTCTTTCCCTTGTCCTCTAAATGCTGTATTTCTGTCTGGTTAGCCCCATGATTAGGTCTTTCTCTTGGGATATGTGAGGTACAGATTTAAATTAACTCCTCAGGATAAGGAGAACTTAGTTCTTACAAATCCTGGGCCTGTAGTGTAGTTGGCAAACCGGCACAAAATCTACCTTCCAAACCTGGTGGCTGTGAAAGTACTGACTTTGGCTTCTGAATCCAGGAAGCGGTTTCAGCCTGAAATCTGTCTTGCAAACAGTCATGAGTTTCTGAAGTCTGTGAAAGAAGTGAAAATTTACATTTGCCCCAAAGTGCAATGTTTCCTACTGTTTAGTACATGGGTTCTGATAATCATAATTGTTCCAGGACAGTTAACTCTGTTTACCCACTATTGATGCCAGTGAAGTACAAAGCTTGGGTTGCTGAGTTCTGTTTCTGGAGCTGCATAAAAGCTGCATCTTGATTCTTAGCCCCCCACTTAGTCGTATTTCCCTTGCTTTTCCAGTTGATTTCAACAGCTACAAAATCTTGTACTAAGTATGGTTTGGTTAGGACACAAATAGACAGCTATTTCCTATGATTGCACTGTCAGGACACTGTCAGTTATGTATTTAGTTCCACTGTTTCAGTTGCTTACCTTTGCTTTTACCACAAACTTGGGAGGTGGGAGAGTTTTGTTTCTCTTGAACGGAGGAGTAAATAGAGTGACAAACAGGCCCAAGTCTACAAAAGAAGCTGCTTGACTATTGCTGACGTTAATTTGTACTGTTTTGGCAGAGTGCGTGGCCGACCATAAAAGTACTGATTAAATGAAGCCTCACTTTCTGTGCTCAGTTGCTCAGTTTCTATGCGTGTGCTGTTCCAAGCAAGCCCTCATTTCTCTCCCCAGAGCAGCAGCTGGGACCTGGTGTGTTCAGTCCTCTTTTATTCTACAGCCCTGTTCATTGCTGTGCCGGTGTGTCAGCTCCAAGAGCCCCTATACATGGCATGGCAAAACAGAGCTTAGTGTCTTAAAATGCAGTGCATTGGCAATCTGCATTTGCTGTTTAAGTATGTAACAGTCATACAGTTAACACTTATGTAATTCACTTCTTTATCTGAATTGTTCATGTATAATTTTTTTCCCCTGTATAGATTGGAGCCTACTGAGGAAAATACCATTTGAGGTCTAAAACCTTTGTCACTTTTAAGATACAATATTATTTTTGGCAATTAACAGTATGTTTC